ATTCCCAGTATATTTAAACAGGACACATTTTTTTAAAAAAAAACATGAGAACAAAAAAGGACCATCTAATAAGAAAAACACGAACAAGAGTTAACTAATACTAAGTGTAGTGACCAATAGGTACTCTCCAGAACAAAACCCCAAATGAACAAGGAGAGTTTTATTATCTTTTGAGGGTTTTAATAAATTTTTCAAGCTAAGAAAGGTGGAGGAGGAACTTGAATGGTGGTTCCAGCTTGAATCTGACCCCAACCTATCAAACGCCAATGCTTTTCCACACGCCTACTCAAAGCCACTTTCTCTCCTTTGCTCGTGCAAACAGGAGCAGTAAGTTGCAGCTTAGCCAGATCGTTCTTTACTCCTACAACTTTGGCTCCCGTCGACATGGAACCAATGTTGAGCATCAGAATCTCTCCCTTCGTTAGCTTTGTTACTTTCCCTTGTTTCTCTGACCCCTTTATTCTCACTCCCAACAGTCGCCGTAGAAGAAAGAAGTTCACCTACCAAGATTATTCAAGTAATTACCAAAGGAGAAGGCTTACGACTATGAAGTATTATAACATATCCACCTAGTTTGGCGTTTATACCTCAAGTTCAACAAAGACATCAGGAAGGGAACCGATTTCACCAAGGACTTGACCCACCAAACGATCAGCACGAGTAAGAGTTGGGTCCATTGTTGTTCCTACTCCTATTAGACCTCCAGGCACTGCATACTGAAGCTCGTTCTGTTCCGCGTACAGTGAAATAATGCGTGAGTATATTGGAGTGCATTTCGGGTTGCCATGCTCGTCTTTCACAACTATTCCGGGTCGGATCTCAATTAACTGGTTTACTTTCAAAACACCCTACAAAATATTACAAATGTTGTTAGAGACACCGATTACTCACTGGATGACATATCTGCGAAGCTTGATGAAGCTAGAAGGTAATATAAGCAAGTTATATTTGAGAGATCAACAGAGAGAGAGGTAGATACCCGTAGGATACTTCCACCTGCAACTCCACCTTTAATCTCATCAACCTCAAACCCGGGTTTGTTGACATCAAAAGACCGAATCACTATCATATTTGGTGGTGAAATAAAATTCCTCTTAGGGATTGGGATCTTCTTGACAATGTACTCGCATACAACATCGATGTTGTACTTCAGCTGGGCTGATACAGGGACTATTGGGGCACCATCTGCGACAGTGTTCTGAAACAGTATGTGATAAAATATGAGAACCAACTTCCCTAAACCCTATCCTTAGCGTAACCAACTGATGGAAATTAGAATGCAACAAGAGATAGGAAACTCGAACCATTATAAATTTCTGGATGGCCTCGTGCTGATTAATGGCTACGTTCTCTTGAATAAGATCAATCTTGTTCTGAAGGATTATGATATGCTTGAGTTGCATAATCTCAACAGCAGCAAGATGTTCGGATGTTTGTGGTTGTGGACAACTTTCATTTGCAGCGATTAGAAGCAGTGCACCATCCATGATGGCTGCTCCGTTGAGCATAGTCGCCATGAGAATATCGTGTCCCTGAAGAATAGAAACAAGAAGATCATCAACAACAAGAATAAAGCCAAGAGTGATGAGATTTAATTTTACTTCTAAATCAGCACAAACTCTTTAAATCCCCCACCCAATAAGAATCGAAAACCATAATCTGAAAAGTAGAAGTTTAAGAAGAACGAAGAGAAGCATAAAACTCATCATACATACCGGGCAATCCACGAAAGAGACATGCCTCAATAGTTTCATCTTGGAGTTCTCAAATCCAGGGACATCACAAAGTGGGTTGTCTTCCTTTCCACTTCCATATGCCCTAGAATAACAGACACAAGATAGTTAAGACTCTCCAACACAATCTTATATTAGAAGATTACAAAAAAAAAACAAAAATTTAAGAAAAAACTGACTTGTAGCACATTGGTCTAGGGCATTTCTCATCCTCACATTTGTAAATCTTGGCATTTGCATATCCAAGCTTAATGGTGATGTTACGCTCCAATTCATTCTTAAAACGGACAGTCTACACAAGAACAAGAGATAATACAAATGCTACAGTTGAATCAATTAACTGCTCTGGTAAGTGGTAACACAAGATAGCATATAGATTCAAGCGGCATAGTAGTCAAAAATTACCTGCACACCGGATATAGCTTTGACAACAGTGGACTTTCCGTGAGCGACATGCCCAATGGTTCCTGAGATAAAACAACACTACTATAGTCTTTAGCTTCTACAATTGCCCAATGGTTAGGTTGTTTGACACTTATCATCAACTCAATACAGACTAAAAAAAAAACTAAAAGGCTAAGGACAGCACATAGAGAAAATTTAAAAGCCTTGTGTACAACATATATGTTACCTATATTTATTGTAGCTTGGCGAGAGATGACCTCAGGAGACAAAGGATGAAGCACAGTTACATCCAATGTACTAAGATCTTGCTCTGCCAAACCCCTGTTCCGTGACATTTGTGACGCCTCCTGCTTAAAACTGGGAATCAATCAGCCCTAACGCTAAATAGTTGTGAGAAGACGTGTAAACCACACACAAAGACAAGTCCCCCTCGAAGAAATTAGCGTTCCATAAACTAAGTTGTGTTAACTAAACATCAAAACCAATTCGATTCTCAATCTATAACTTTACAATTAAATCGAAACAAATCAGAGTGAAGTTTATCCCAAGAAGAAGGAATCTATCTAAGTGAACTAATTTCTCCTAAGAAGATGTGATTGGAAATCGAAACAAACCACCTGAGTATGAAAATGCGGCGCAGCTAGAAGAGACAGATTTGAGAGTTGAAGTTCGTATCCTTTTCTATCTTTTTTTCTAGAAAATTTAATTACTAGTATTCTATTTCTATACAGGGGAAAAGAATTTTATATAGGGCTGGGCAATCGGGGTCCCAATCGGGTTTCGGTTCGGGTTCATTCGGGTTTCGGGTTTTCGGGTTCATGAATTTCAGCCCCATTCGGATATTATAAAAATTCGGGTCGGATTCGGTTCGT